ATGTTGGAGTTCATTGTTTGTTGCAAGATAAAATCATCCATACATCTTTCACATTTGTGAATTGTGTCTCATAAATATCTATAGAGATGAAAAATTTATAATTATGAATTAATTACATGCTTTAGGAAAAATTGTCATAAAATTGTATCAGATTTCCTTTTATTATTTGTAAAGAATTTTTTTCTGTTTTATTTAATTTTAAAAATATTTTTTACAATCAATCACTTTTTGAAATTTTATGTAGGATTATCATGCAATGTGTGTAGTATGAAGTAAGAATTTAATATTTATTGATATGGTAATTTTTTTAACTGTTTAATATTTGAAAATTATTTTCTAATGATTTTTTCTTAGTTTTATGTTTCACTGTCTTAAAAAACTGATTTAAGATGATGAAAGAATACAAAATTCTGAATAGAGCTAAAGAAAGTTAAAGAAAATACAATTTTTTTTTATATCTGAAATATCTGAAATTTTTACTTAGCCTATTGTGAGGAAGAAATATCAAATGCTCAATATTGTGGGGTAAATTTCTCGGTTTAACATAAAAAATTCATCAGATTAATATCTTTCTGTATTTAATATCATGATTATACCCAATCACTTATGATAAGGATTGTGAAAAGCTGACATCTTTTTTATTACATCATTTTGCATGTATATACATTATGATTTTCTAGTTAAGCATAGATATTAGTGATTATTAACATGTTCATGAAAGAGTTTCGGCCTCTCGTAACTTGATAAATTTTTTTGATAAAATTACTCATCTTAAGAATTAAAAACCATCTGAACTCTCAGAAGGTTTTTAATTCTTTAAAAATAAAATAAAATATGATATAGTGTGACGAATATATCAAGAATTTGTATTTTGGATAATTAACTTGGTACTTATATTCTTATTTTCTAAAAATTGTAATTTTGATCTAAGTTGTATGAATATGTATGCTCAAATATAATTAATTCTATGTATGTATAGTTCTATTTTTCAGTTTGAATATAATTGATGATTTCACTATGTATTTAGATATTGAGATATTTTATTTTAAAGAAATTAGAATGATACCGTAATAAACCAGTTGTTTCTGTCAATGTTGATGCAGTTGAAAAACTTATTTGCTCTAGTTTTTATCCACTTTGTTCGGGCACCTTGACTCGGTCGGCTCCTTCGGCCCTTCCTACCCAGTTTTTCAGCGGCACTGGGAGTTGAAGGTTAAGCCAATGCCAAAGGAGCCCGAACGACTTCCCTTTGGTCGGGTTCGAAACATTAACTGAATTTCGCATAAAAAACCTATGATTTGGGGCGAGGCTTTCGAAGGCCTTTTTTTTAAAACAATTGTAAGAAATCACTTAATCTTTCGATTTTAATAGCAAAATTAATGAAAATTGTGTATCAATTTGGAATCCCTAGTAAGCAATGGTAAAAGACATGTGACATTTCTTCATTATAACCTCATCACTCAAACTCATGAATAAACTAATTTTGCAATGAATGCGTTGGGAGAAACTAGGTCTCGGTTATGATAGTTCTTGTGCATTTGTCTGCAAATGAAACTATGAATAATAGTTTTATATAGATAAAATGTTCTGGACGAATATCAGATAGCGAAATAAAGTTTATCTGCGCCTAGATAAACGGACAAAGGTCAATCAATATTTCATATACACACTCGAAATCACACATTTAAGAGAGATTCAAATCAGGAAGTTTATGTCATTGCTGTTATAACGAGGCAACGAGACTCGAGATTCTGTTCCAGCATGTAGATAAAATGTAGGACTCGTTATGCTCTAGAAGAGCAGGCAATTCTCGCATCGCGATGGCAGTGCAGTGTTCGAGTACCTGCCTCGGAGTAATAGTTGTCCATACGCTCACCTACTTGATCCACACATTGCACCTGGCCACCGCACCCCTTCTTCAAATCCGAGAACTATAGTATTGTAAGGGGCTCATCAACGAGGTCATGGTTCAAACCCCTTGCTAGCGACAGGGGGGCAATTGCGGCTCGGGGGCTCTACGCCTAGGCGAGCTACGAGCTAGACACCGCTAGCCCGTTCGTTAGGGTCCGAGCTCTGCATCAACCCGGTAAATTTCTGTTAGAACGACGTGACCTTGCTCGGCCACCTACTGTATCTAAGTAACCTTCGTGCTGTGTTGTACTCCTAATCATTCCCTCTTCGTCTTCTTCTTCTTCGCTGTTCTTATACTCGGCCCCTTGCCCACAGTTTCGGTGAGTTTTGTTCTTGTAGGGTTTTGGTGGGCGGGCGGGCGCTAATGCTTGAGCGCAAGTGGAGAGGTTAGAGTTCGGGGTTAGGTTACTTCACCTGTTTCTACGAAAGATGGTGGGCGGGCAGGGAGAGGCTTATCTTCGGTCTGAGACCGTGAGTTCCTTTTGCCTGGCCTGCTTGCTTGCTTCCTTTGACCTCGGCGCTGAAGGCGGATCGAGGTCGCATTTTGGAAGATCGAAACGCGGTGATCTTACAGCCTCCGATTGTTTGAAGGGCCGGGGAAATCGTCGCGACGTCGCTGAGGCACGTCGCGACGATGACGATTACGCCGAGGCAGTTCATGGAACCCATTGGAGGACGACGGATCCGAGGACTCATCGTACCTTGGTGAGGGAGGTGAGGGAGCGAGGGAGGAACGGAAGGATGGGCACAAGCAGGGTTCGAACCTGGGTTCGGCGCGGAGGACTCAAGGGGCTCCATTCCCGACCGGGCGGATGGCGCAAGCCGCCGCGTCCTGCCGGAGCGGTCGCCGGAACTTGGCTACAGCGGGAGGATATCGAATCGAGGTTGACGTGTCATCAGATGACGAGGCCAAGTCAGCCACGCCAGGTTGCGCCATGGCGGATATTCCCGACACGAGCCGGCAAACTGCAAGTGCGAAGTCGGTACTGGATACCGGGAACGGTGCCCTCAACGTGCGCTGCTGCCTCAATTCTCTGTTGCTAACGGTATTGAGTAAAATGGCCGTATTAATGGGTCAACGTAATCACCCTTTAATGCTGCCATGCCGCCGCTAACTCACTCGTTATTAGAACCGCCCTTGGGATGTGGAGAACCTGTTCTTGCAACGAACTCGTGGGGCCAAATTTAGCTCGTTTTGGTTCTCGTAGCGTGCTCAAGATAAGGATGAGTTAAGCGGAGCGCCAACTACTGTAGTCGCTGGAAATGACCGCAGTTAAGGCCAACGCATCCACAGTGGCTGTCCTGACATGGTTGGAATTTGAGTGACATTCTCGAAAATGATCACTCAGAAGTTCTGAAATGTCATGTCTGTACTTTTTCTTTTTCTAGTGGTGAACAAGTCAAGCTTCTTCTTTCTATGGGCTCTGGGCAGGTCCTCTCGGTCTTATTACTCCACTAGTTTACCCTATTCCCAATAAAAGATTCAAACGGTGCGTAGGCCGGTTACTTGTGATGGTGGGTGCATGTTGTAAGCCAATCGAGGGGGCCCCAAGTACATCGAGGGCTAATTCCCATGCAGTTTAGTATTTTTCTTTTTCCCTCGCTTAACTCGATCGCTCGATGTTAACTCCGTGGGCGTGATGGAACGTGAGAGCTTAAAAGAGCCATGAGATTCTTAAGTGAGCGAGATATGTAAGTACATCGCGCAGATCTTATTCCCATGCAGCAGTGTTCTCTCTTGCCTCGACGGTTAAGGTGAGTCCGTCGCGTGGACATATATAAAATTTGAGCCATTCGAGAGATTTCGCGAGCACACCGTGCTCATGGTTTCCAGTCCAGTCTCTCTCTCTCTCTCTCTCTCTCCATCGAGTGGCCAACGAAAGTTCCAGGGAACAATTAGAACGTCCAGAGATTCTAGAGACGCGCATATATACTATGATTATATGGGATGCAAATCTCCTCAGCGAGTCCGGGTGCTGCAGTATCCGTCATGTGAGCGTAGGGCCCAGCATGAGCGGAGACGGGTTGGGTTGCAAGATGATACATCATGTACATGTATCGGCAATATTCTCTGCAAAGTCAGTTGCAAGGTTGCAAACATCATCATCATCTGGATTCAAACAAATACTTCTTTTCGACTCATTGGAGGTGGTCTCCCAACTGATCTATAACGTACCACCAAATTTTGATACTGACAGTCAGTGTGAAGAACACCCAATTGCCCATATCCAAACATTCTTTTAGCCTTTCCCCATGGACCTTTCATAGGGACCACGATACTCTCACTCATTTCTCTGTTGGTCCCATCCATTCACACATCCGTCTTTCGTTTTCACCTCATCCTGTTGATCGGGAACCATTGCGAAGATAGGATTGACCTGTTCTCCGCCCCGATATCTCGCTTTTACCTATGCAATCATCCGGTGATAGGGGCATGAGGTGGATAGTCCGAGTTTCTTCAGCGTTTTCTTAATTACTTCTCAGCCACAGATCTTTTGCACATAAACACGAGATATCAGCCACCATGTCTGACGGTTCAGCAGTCCTTCCTTTGGAATCTTTGGTGGTGGAATCTCCTCCTTCACGTCTTTGTCCATAGTGTGTGACATGTTCTCCCATACTACCTTGGATCATACTTAATATATTTATAGGGGTCTAAATGCTCTTTTAGTTTTCAAATGGCATGTGCCTCAGTGTGATTTCATCGAAGCATGACACCGGACTTGGGCAATACAGCTCATTAACAACAATACGGTTAATACTGTTCTACCAGTAATTATAAGCATGACATCAAAGCGATCAGAATAGGGCATAAGCTACCGTAGTAGTTGACATCAACGAACACGGTTGGGACCGCTCTTATAAGGAGCTAGACCATGGCCCGAGTTCTGGTGCCATGACACCTATTGACAATTATTCCTTTACATGAATAGCAACTGATCTATGGAGCGGCCAAGTAACAAATCTTGATCGTCATGCTGCCTCTCAACATCCCGCAGGCGGACGTTGGGGCTGTGATATTTTTGGAATGATCACTCTCACAAGCAACCAGTGTTCTTTCCGACGCATCGGAGACAGGCGGAGATGTCATGTCCAAGCAGCAGTGGTCGACTGTTGTAGCTCTCCAGGCGAGAGGCGTGCGGAGAGGAGGAGGAAGTTGGGAACGCCGGCGACTGCTGCCCCTTTTGGCGACCGCAGGAAATTCGCAAGCTGCGAGCAGCAAATCATCGCGAGTGCCAACTTCCGACCCCAAAGGGGCTGCGCCTGCCGCTGGTGAATCCCATTATGACCCCAACGACGACAAGTTCTGGAAGCAAGTGTCGACGTAGAATCCATCGAGATGCAAAGTGCAAAGTCCTCCGCGATTGACCGCAACCAGTTGTACTAACCGGGGGCGCTGTACGCTCCCATAAGTGCCTCGTTCCATTTGGTCTAACTTCCGGGGCGAGGGCCCGTTCCGGTCGCGCCATGGACCGATCCGTTTTGAGTGGATGCTCCATGCATTATGATGCTCAAAACTGTTTGGCGAAGAATGATAATAATGCTCCGCAGATGGAAATTGGAGAATGAGCTAACAGATGTTGGGACGCTAGAGGCGGTACAGCGCGAGGGTCCGAGGTTGTTCGAGCAACGAGTATTGTGTCATAATGTTACACGGATGAGGATGAGAGAGAGAGAGAAGCAGGCCCATGCAGCAAACTGTTAGAGATAAAGGTCACCAGGGGGGGGGGGTCGGGGGGTCGGGGGTGGTCGAGGGCTCCTTCGGCGGCGACGCTCAAGTCCTTAAATTTGGCGACTACGCTCCAGGGAACGACCGGATTATAAATGTCGCGGCGCGGAGGTTAAAGAAGCGGTTCTAGTAGGGAACGTTCCATCATCATGCGATGTCACAGAGGAACAGAAGGGGCCGGAGCTCGGGGGAGGAGGAGAGAGAAAAGCTGCCGCACGACGTCGTACTTTGCGAGAGACGGAGGGAGGAAGTTAGAGGGAGTTATCGTACAGTACGAAGATTTTGTACCCCGGAAAGCGGAAGGTACTGTATGTTCTACAGGCCCGGCCGGCCAGCCCCGCCCCGCCCAGTGCAGGGCAGTCGTCGTCGTCGTCGTCCGCGCGACCTCAGCCCAGTCGCGGCTGGGCAGCGCTGGGGATCCCGAATTTTCGTGCTGCGCTCTGGACGGCGGTGCTTACATGGCAGACGAAGGCAGCAAGTGACTTCAGCAGGAGCCGCGTGGCGCGTCCGCGCGCGAGCGCTGCCCGAGCCTGGGAGCCGCGGGTGACCGGAAGCGAGTGACCTTTGGAACCTGCGGTTTGGCCGGTAGTTATTTTAATGGGCGATGTGGAAAGGAGGAAAATGAATGCCACTGGAGGCCCCTCCTCCGGGCCGGACGCCGGGATTGAGAATATTTAGTGATTGCTATTTTCGGTGCTTGCTTTTCGCCACGTGAATTGCTCATTGATGCTGGGCCGAGGCCGAACCCCAATGGGGTGCAGCAGCAGCGGTGCAGCAGAAAGAGAGGAAGGCGGTCGAGCTGGGGCGTGGGAGCAGAATCGGGCTCGGCTCATGGTGGGGAATTAGAGGCTGGGCGGGGCGGGGCTGGGCGGGCGGGCCATCGGAGGTCTTGGAGCCGATGGCTAGTCGAGGCTGGCCCCGGCGGCCGGGCCGCGGGAGCGCGAGCTGGAGCTGGAGATGGAGGCGAGCGAGCGAGCGTAGTGTATGTCGTATGAGGCCCGAAGGCGCCCCGGCTGGACTGGCTGGCTGGCTGGCTCTCTACGAAGAATAGAAGCGTGGGGCAGTAATGGTGGAAAGAGAAGAGAATAGAAGAGAGCAGAAGTTGGGCCAGTTAGAGAGAGAGAAATGGGGGCAGGAGCAGCACGCTTGAGATCGCCGGCACGAGCAGCAGAGTATATCTGTGGGGATTGAATGGGAGCAAGGGGAGGCACTGTAGTTATGGAGCGCGTAGTCTAGCGCTCGCAGCTTAGCTGCTGCCCCCCTTTGCTTATCATGACGCCTAATGATTCCGCTGAGTATATGAAGTGTGGATTTTGAATCCTCAGATGCAGCATCCTGCCTACTCAATCACCTCTTCTTACTGCCCTCCATGCCAAGAGCGTGAGAGAGAAGACGTGAGCCAGAAGAGATAGAGCTAGGCCTCCCCTCCGATCCTCCTTCCCTGGGGATTGTCCTGCGGTGTCCTGCCCATCCTCCTCCCTTTGGCTTGGGAATGCGCTAAACCTTCCGTGCTTCTTTTGACGCAAGCGCACACTTGCTCCGGAGTACGGTACCTGTGTCGTCTTATATCTAGTGTGGATCTATTACGAGCCAATTGTCTCTCTTACGAAAGAGGGAGAGCTGGGATCGCGCTGGGAGCTGTTTGTCCGAGGACCGCCTAGGCAGGGAGAAACGGTGCCGAGGTTGCTCTTTACCAGTGCTAAAGAACTAGTTGCTCTACACTGAGCGGCAGACGCAGGAAGTTCTGATGGGGACGGTAGTCCCTACACGGCAGGTGACAGGGGAGGTTCTCGTTAGAAATTTTGATAAAACCACTGACGTGGAGAAGGTGCTGGCTCTTGAGCAAACATGCGAGGCCGGAGACAATGCCAATGATATGACGCTTCTGCAAGATTTGCTCGGAGACCCGCTCTCCAGGGTCCGGCATTATCCATCGTATTCTATGATGGTAATCCTCTTTTTCGCCATTTGTGCAAGCATTGCCTAAATTTTTCGCGGATGTTAGTCCTCTCAAAGAATTATGCTTGCGAATCTTCTCACACTCGTGTCTTTCCCCGCAAGCCTGCCAATGCCAGTCGGGCTCCGCTGTAATTCTTGAAGTTCGGACTTGCAGCTCCTCATTTCGCACGACGGCTCGGCTCTCTGTTCTAACTCAGCAATTTTGTGGTCATAATTTGTGCCGGGGGTAGCCCGGGCCCTTTCCTTCATGCAGCCAACTTTCAGGTTGATTGCATTGTGAGTCCCTTGGTCTGGATTTCTCTCCAAGTGAAGCCCCACTGATAGCGCGTCATTTGAGTTCTTGGAATTGGAGTCGAGAAATCATAGTTGCTCTCCCTGGAGCCCCTTTAGTCTGATAATGCATCATGCGATTGATTTTTGAGCTGCATGTATCCAATTCGGGCTGCTGCGTAGCACAGCCGAGTGGGATTTGCAGCTGGACGTAAGCGGGAATTGCTGGTCCATTGAATCCTACTCATCTTCGTCTCACCCAACTTCTCGAACCGGATGTTCAGGTTGCTGAAGTCGATCAGGAAATTGTAGGCGTGGTGAGAGCTGGAATCAAGACGGTTGTTTGTGGGAAGAGCGGGGCCAAGTCTGTGCAGTCGGGTAGCCGCAGTCGCACCCATTTGCAAGATGTCCCAATTTACGCAAAGGCTGCGTACCTGTTGGGCCTGCGGGTTTCTCCCGCTCACAGGTAGAGGCTGGAGGCTTAAATGTTCATGACATCATTGCTTCTTGAATTAAATCTTTGTGGACAGCTTTCACGAGAGCTTTTTTCGGAGCGTGGATCAGCTCTGGCCGAGAAGCCCTTGCTCGTTCAGAAGCGAAATCCATGCTCCGGTAACTCAATGCAATGCTGGTCGTCATGTAATGGTCCGTGGTCAGTGTTGATCGGAACTAATATTTGCTCTTTTCGTCGTGTATCTCAGAAGAATGGGTATTGGACTTAAACTAGCCATGAAAATGGAGGAGTGGTGCAAAGAGCAAGGTGTGGAATATATGTACTTCGCGACCACGAAAGATAATGCGCCGTCATTGAACCTGTTCACCGATCGTCTGCAGTACACTCCGTTCAGATACCCAGCTCTTCTTGGTCATCCCATCTGGCATCACTCGGTCCGCTTGCCGTCGCACATCGAAGTGACCAAGCTCAGCGTGGAGGCGGCTGTGGCCATGTACCGGTCCGTAATGAACACGGAAGAGTTTTTCCCCGAGGACATTGATAAGATCTTGAATCACAAGCTGTGCGCCGGCACGTGGGTGGCCACGCTGAGGGAGGATCGACATTCAGGTCTATGCTGCGGAGGATCTTGTAGGGTGAGCGAGAACATGGGAACAATTGAATCGTCATTTGCGCGGAGCGACGACGGGCGACCGATGCCTAAATCGTGGGCGGTGCTTAGCTTATGGAAATGCAACGAAATTTTTAGCTTCCAAGTAAAAGGGGTGCCATTGTATAAGCGGACGGGTGCTTTAATTTCTCGGTGCTTGGACAAGGCCCTGCCGTGGTGTAACATACCATCCTTCCCCAACGTGTTCAACCCGTTCGGGTTGCAATTTTTGTTCGGCCTGCACGCGGAGGGTCCGAAGGGACCCGAGCTGTTTAGAAGCCTTTGTCGACACGCGCACAATGTGTCGAGGAAGGACGGATGCCAAGTTTTGTTGACTGAGGTGGGCGCAACGGATCCTCTCAGGCAAAGCATTCCCCATTGGGAGAAGTTCTCGTTCGCCGACGATGTGTGGTGTGTTAAAAACCTTGTAAAGTTAGCCGATAACGGCGGGGATAGTGATCGCAGTAGGAAGGTAGGCGCAGAGTTGGATCGAAGTAGCTTCGACTGGTGCAGGGTGCAGTGCCCTCCTGCGTCCACCATGTTCGTAGATCCAAGAGATGTTTAGGCCGGGCTTCAATTCCCTCAGTTCCTTGTAAAAATACTAAAGCGTTGTATACTACCCACTGTTTTGCATCGGGCTTCTGCCACCCACTCTCGGACTCTCGGTCTCTTTATCATGTGTCATGCATTAGTGTCATGCGCGCGCTGTCAACGAAAGTTTGTTTAGAGCGTAATGTCAACTTTGGATTTGACCTCTGTAATGGTCTGTGATTAATTTATACTGAGCCAGCTTGCTATTCTAGATCTGCCACTCATGAGCTAATCCTTTCGGAAAGCCAAAATATATCTGAGGCAGCCAGCTCCAATCGTATTCGGTTCAGGATTGTAGCGTAATAATGGCGCTGGTCATAGGATTTATCAACAATCCTGTGAACGAGAGTGCGAATCGCAGCCGTTGGCGAAATATCGCTGGCCGACCCGGATCAGTATGCTCGGGGAAAGAGAAATATTCTCCAGTCGACAGTTGATTGCTGATGTACTGCCAGACGATTCCTGGTCCTCATGGAAGAGGGACTGGCCGCAGGGCAATCTACTTGCGGGAGAGGACAGATCTATCCTGCACAGCGGTAATGCAGGATAAGTCTTGCGAGGTAGTAAGCAGGCACAGACCGTCAATCATCGGCCCCGTGGAGAAGGAAGTCATGAATGCATGCGGTTCAAAATTTGGCCAACGCGATCGTTCTACGCCTCTTCTTGCTGACATACCGAGAGCGTTATTGGGGTCCAAAAGGGGCGTCGCTAATCATCAGCATCCTTCTGCCTTCTCCTGGGCGTGCAAAATCCGGTTGCACCAATTCGAAGCGCAGCGATGCGATGTTTCGCCAAACCGGCCCTGCAGCAGCCGGTTCCCATGCAAAACTAAAAGGCAGCGCAGCGCTCCCCCAATCGTCGGCCCTCACCGCCGCTGGCGCATACGAGAGCGGAAGCGTGAACTCCCGACCACGAGCTGACTCTCCCCTCCCCCCGTCCTCCCCTCGTCGGCTCTCTCCTGAGTCCTGACAATATTATCCAACTTCCAACGAACCCGACCTTCATCGCCCTCGCAATCATTACTCCCTGCGCAATCAAAGCCATTCTCGCCTCGCCGAACCGCAATTCCCCTTGCACGCAGGTCCTCCTCCTCGCCTTCCTCAGCTTTCCAGCTTCCTCTCTTCCGATGCTCCCATCAAACCACCCATCGGCAGTACGACATGCAGACCCTCCGCCACCCCTCCGTTCCGCGACACCTTCCTGCGGATCTTCCCTTCCATTCTCTCATGTATTCCGTGGCCTGGGAATCAATGATCCATCATCCAGCCACCACAATGTCGAGCCGCAAAATCTCCTCTGAATCACACCAGTCTGCGAGCCTGCCCGCCTGCCTGCGTGCCTGCCTGAAGGCCTGCGCCTGGGCGTGCCCCTCTCGCCTCGTCCGCAAAGGCCAGCCAGCGGAGGACCCCTTCGAACCACGGTCCACTCCGTCGTCGCCCCTCGTCCCGGCCCCGGTCCCAGCCAGTCAAGTCCAGGAGTCCCGATTGGCGACTCCGGGCACGGCCCGCCGGACCACCGGCCCGACCCGACCCGCCGGTGGGGGTCGGGGGGTGGGCTCCTACATGTACGCACAGCGTACGTAGAAGGGACGATGCGAGAGGTGGTGCTTGCGGGGGGATTCGTCGAGTCATGGATAGATCGGTGGATAGAGATGTTGACAATGGGGCACACTGATGAACTCAGCGCGGCCCGGTGAGATTACTGTATTCGAGTTCCGGGCGAGTCGTGTAGCGGAGATTCATTTTGCTAGTAAGTAGTTGACATGTGCGAAGGTACCTAACTTATTACTATTCCCGATAACTGCCCCACTAATGGAGGCCGCAAAGGTCGAGCTAGGGTCGGAAAGGCTTACAATCTACTTGCAAACCTTTTCTAATGAATAAGTGGGTTTTGTTTATGATTTGTCAATTCTCACGGACAACGAACACGGATGCATCCTTCGCCACATGAGGCTTAGAAAAATCTGCGCTCCACACGTGCCGAGCACGACGTACCCGCTTTTGCTACGCCCCGCAAGTATGAACAAATCTGCGCTCTACCGTTCGGTGCGCTCGAGCCATTTCGACATCTCACCCCGCCGAGTCGCACTCGATGCCTTCGAGCATGAGAGCACAGAGCGTTCTGTGTTCGAGACGATTCTGCTCGGCTCGCCTTTCTGGATGGATGAGCGCACAGCCGCGCCGAGGCTGGGCTGCGTAATACCGTTTGTCCAGAGCGTTCGACATTCCCGATATAGGGGCGAGGAGCTGCAAGTGCCGAGAGAGCACATATGAGCTCGAAAAGTGCTTGTCACATTCTTGCAAGTGAGACCACCGGCCAAAGCTCGGGTCGCATGTCAAAGGGGATACCTGCGTTGAAGATCCCTTCCGCATTCGAACATCCAACTTTGCTTTTGTGCGAATCTTCAATCTCTCCGGAGAAACCTTTGCTCGTGCACTTTTTGACCATTATTCAACGGAAGTCGGGACTTGCAAGAATCAAGATGGAGTGACATGCTCGTACATGCGAGACCACGTTCCAATTTGGCAAGTTCCCACAAGTTGTTTGGAATCGCCAGCGGCTGCGTAGTATATTTTGGACTGGAGGGAGGAGAGATACTTCCTTCGGACAACATTTGTGAACATGCCGTACTGCCGCAGTCTCCCACCAATTCGTTCGCGCTATGGTTTTATTCCCAGCAGGTCAACATGGACAGATATTACAACCATGCCAAAAGCACCGCTTGCATGTACATACAGAGTAGTGGTAAGTTTGGGAAAGTGTCTAAAAAATTGCACCGAAGTTTGAGGGCAGCCTGCGCTTTGCGATTGTAAATGCATATTCAGTGATTCGCGCAGATACCTGCGCGTAATGGAATCCACGACTGTAGTAAATCATGTGTGGGAAGGTACCAAGGGATTCGGGGAAGCAGAAGTTGCAGCAGAACACTGGAGTTGAGAGAGAGAGAGAGAGAGAGAGAGAGAGAAGGGAGTGAGAGAGTGAGTGATAGGATAGACATACACTCATTTACGTGCACCTAAGTCTCGACCCACTACCATTTTTCTATGCATTTCAATTCAGGTGCCTGCAAATGATCTTCAGGGAGAATAACATCGCACTCACATCAACATTCTGCAGAAAACCTCCCAAATCGGATTCATTGATAAACTATGAATTTACGGGGATTTCACCTTCTCCTGGTGTGCGATCTTGTCGTCTTGCGGGGATTCCGTTGCATTCTTTATCATTCCGAATCTGTTACAAGCTCTCTCATCATTTTTCACACGGAATCTCTAACATGTGGATTTCTCATTCCATGCCAACTCCAGTGAGTTGGCATACGTAGAAGGCAAAATCACATTCAATAGAAAAATTTTGGATTTATTCTACCCAGAAAAATGCTAAAGCGCTAGGAACGAGATGCTTATGTAGAGTAACCAAGTTAGTCCCCCAATGATATTGTTTTTTGTCAACAACAGCAACCAGTAATTTTTGTCTTTCTTTACAATTTAAAGGTTCTTGCGCCCTTAGCTCACCGCACCCAATCCATCTCGGACTGTTCCAGTTAAAACAAATTAGTAGAGAGAGAGAGAGAGATTCAACCCGTGGGTCAGGTTGACTCCACACGCTGCAGCTTAGATATATATTCCCGTAATCAAACCAGATCAAACCCGCTACGACACCGGCCCTTTGATCACGAGGCCGGGGCACCTCATGACCGGTCAATCTGTGCGGTATGGACAGCCTAGCGTCCAGCTTAAAATAGTGAAAGAAGAGGATTAGGTTTCCAGAGGACCTGGAAAAGTCACCGGTTGACCTGCTCCTGGTTGGAATGCTTAACCCGAGGTGCTGTACTTAGAGTGGGGCCGACTCTCAGTTACAAAGCGAGAGAGAGACGTACTTGAGGTGTCATTGTCATTCCCTATTAGATTTGACAGTACGTATGAAGGAACATCATGCTTATTCTTGTATTTCTCTTCGGGTTTTTAACCAATATCCTATCCGCTTGTTTATAGATTTTTCTCATGCTCAAGAACTCCTCAGTCACGTTCTTCTTGAGCGTGTTGTGGTCCTTTCTCCGCGGTGAGGCAAAAATTCTTTTCAATCCGCAGAATACTCTCTGCTTTCGAAAAGTGCAAACCGGCTAAGTTATTCTAAGGGATGCCCGGCCAATCGGATGGGAGAGCAGCTGCTTGGAACCCCCAAATTCAAAGGAGATGCTGAGCTGCTGACGAGCGACATCGGCCAAAAGGCCTAAGTCTCCAGAGCAGCTCGAGTGCTTTAGTAGATGTTCCGTCGACCAGAACTCCCGAGTTTTGAAACCTGGTCCTGAAGCGGATCGGTTTCCAGCCCGAAGCCTTTGAACCCAGGGCTGCGAGACCTGCGTCCACATGCAGATGAGGCTCCTTATGCATCATAGACGCGTCGAGTCTCCGTAAAAATCACTTGCGATGTTGACAATCGAGTGAACAAACCACTCATGACATGCCATAGGTAGATCACTAAGTTAGAGAGTTAGTTCAGCTATTCCTATGCGTTGCAACTGGACAGGCCTTGAGTCATAAAGCGTCGGTGTGCTTTATGACAATATACGATCATCTCTAGTTGTCATGGATGCAAAAGTCGTGTAAAAATATGATGTGAAAAATGCCTGCCCCCAAATATTACTAATGCAGCCATGCAGGGTAGAGGCTGGTGGTCATGTTGCATCACTCATACCGCAGACCCCGTGAGTACTGTGAGTACAAGCACTGTAAGCAATGTTGGAGAAGCTGGGGGAAAATTGCATGAATCACTTCCACGGTACTACTGGTTTGGAGAGAAAGTTGAAAAAAGGCTTCTGCATTTTGCACCTTTTACACCGTAGCATAATGATATTGCAATGTTTCCTTTCGGCAAAGCATGGGGCGTTGTATGGGGCTACAGTAAGGTCATTTCAAATCTTGAATGCCATACCTATAAACAAATGTTCAAATCTGCCAAAAGCTTTATCAATAGTATCGACATACCTGGAAAATGGTTGTAAGAGATTCGTGCAGACTAGATGTGTAAAAAAATGATTTGTAGAAATGTAACCCATTAAACTTACCCACTCTATGGATGATATCTTCCACATTATAAATGTCAATGTCTTCAAATATAATATTATCCTACTGACATATACATAAAAAAATCTTTCGTATCCACCTTTTAACATGAAGGCATACAAATCTTGTTGAAAAGGCGCTATTGCTATTGAGTATATACTAATAATGTTGTTCGCAGATCACTGGTTTTTGGACCAAAAGCTGCAAGCCGTTAGTTTTGGCTGTCAAATGAACCTTCAGGTTAAGATGCATCCGATAGTGCCTACGTCTAAATATCCAAATAGGACATATCAAATGTCTCCAATCATATACATTGCGCGGGTCGCTCTATCATGTGGACGTGCATTCGGCCTTCAAATCTGGCACTTTCGATTTTCTCATATGAGAATATAAAAACGAGTCGAGGAACCACGCTTCAATAACTACAGGAAAAACCTCCGGAAATATTTGAATAAAGCACCATCTTCATATGTGGAGAATGTAACAGTCTGTTCGACCTGAATCCACTTTACAATGTTTGTAAAGCTCACATGGTACAGTGAGAAAGGCCTTTCGAAACGGAGGAAAGGCCCACAAAGAGCGATCGAAGTGAGGAAATAAGACCTCAAGAGCAAAACTTTTGTGGTGCAAATCAAAAGAAAGTATCCTGCACTCGTGCAACCAAATTACGACCAGTAAGAGCATGCAAGAGGTCAACGGAAATCTCAGAACTAAATGTTTTGAACAGGCTTTATTGTTATGAAATGCTAAAGCTTGTAGACCACAGACTGAATAGGACCATGCACAGCCTGAATTATACCCCAGGAGGAGAAGAATCATCCATAAGCACGAGTTTCCATATCGGTCCCTGTAGATCCAGATTGAAATCGGAAAGTGCAGGTTTGTGATGCACCTTTTTTTTTGGGTTGAAAACCCTCACGGTCCATAACATTGAAAGATGTCATACATGCTTCACACGAACGGAGCTTTTAAGGGCATGTGAAGGGTGCTTACAGAATATCATCACATCATCTGCTTGTCCACACTCATTATACTAGCGAACAAATATCAAACGAGAATCGCTTACTCTTCTGTTTGTCATATTTTGCGTATGAGGAACCAAAATCACGACTGGAAGGAAAAAATAAAATCTGCGGAGACTGAGGAGACGTGGTGAAGACCCTGGAAATAGAAATATGAGGAAAAGGTGAAACATGTGTGAACTATTAAGTTCACCAAAAGGTACTCTTTCTGCATCTCTGGTATGACCAAGAGTACTAGCTTGACCGTCTGCCTGCTGGTCAAGGAAATGGCCTCAGTGAGATAAACACAAGAAATTGTGCAATAATGAAAGGCGCCATTGAGGTAAGACTGATAGAGCTCTTACATGGTAGTTTGTACTATTTCTGACTTAAAGGTAGTGCCAGCTCCTTGAAACTTAACTTCCCTACCTACAGTAGCGAGCAAGGAACCAGCACAGGACTGGCCTCTCGTAACTAACCAACATATCCACAACCTGAGGAAAGCAGCTGCCGCGGCAAGAGAATCAGATCACCTTTCTGCCTGTCTCTCTGGTTGTCCGGGGTCCTACAGTGGCATGTCTTGATTTCTATGAGGCCCAGCTTCAACTAGTTTCCTGAGGTTTCGATTCACACTCGCACATGTTTCTCCATGTGAACTTAGATCCTAAAAGCTTATTTCGTCCCCCGCAAAACAAATCTGCAGAGTCAAAGATGTCCAGCGCCATTTGGCTCCACTTTTTTCTCCACTTCGGTCCCTGATGTTTGCACTCTTTAGTTCTGGAACTCATGCCCCACTTTAGAGTCCCTGTAGCCTTTAGATGTCATGCGTACATTTAGTTGGCGACCATCTTGTCTATCTGGAAGCCACAAATAGCCGAGGGAGACCTGTCCATGCTGATTAGACGCATATGCCTTTTTGCAACAGCCAGGTTGGTTGGAGCAATTTGGGCTTGACTCGAAGATTATATTATTATTTTTTGTCCTAACGAATTTTGCTCGGAAGCCTGATGCAGCCTAAGTTCGTGCTCAAGAGTTGAAAGCATCGAACTAAAACCGAAAGCAAGCAAGTGATACAGTGGTGGGCTCGCGTAATAGTTCACTCGGGGCGCGAAGGCCACCACACTACGCATTTCTAGGCGGACGCCATCCATCGACGTAATTTCAGCTTGCAACTACCGTGAGCAAGACAAGCAAGCCGGTCCTGTAGAGGGAGGCGGACTCGTAGGTTTTACTCTGAAAATGGAGACCAAGATCCACTTCGCTTGAATCGGAGAGGACAGTTTCTCCGAGCAGATGAATTGTGGGCAGCTATCTCGCGCATCCGAGCCGGAAGGGGGTGGGTTGATGAAACCGAAAAACTTCGCTCGCAATAAAGAAGTGCGGGTTCAATTTGCGGGTTCGTCCACAGTATCGATGACACGAAGATTACGAGATCAAGCGAGCAGTACAGTAGAAACCGGTGCAGGCTGAGCGTAGCGGCCACAGAAATTACACTTGCGTGACCGCATGGTGGACTCGTCCGAGGACCTTGTGGGGCCGTCCACCTCACCCGTCCCAAAGAACGGAACGGCAGGTAGCGTCGTCTCGTCGTTCGCCGTGGGCGTTTGACCAGGTGATGGCAACGACCCCTTTCCCTCGCACCGGCCTCGAGCCCTAGACCCATGACCGAGGCCAAGCAAGCAAGCGGGGCGGGCCCCAGCCGTGTCGGTCATGGGCCTGTGTACCAGCCCGCCAGGCCCTAGGTCCTGCAGCTCGCCTCTTCCACCTTTGCCCTTTCCAGCTCGGACGACACGTGTCGAGAATGCTGACATGGTCAGCCCGACGCCGATGATGTGTCATATGGCCAAGTTTGCCCGACGCTTCCCGCGCTTTTTCGAACTCGAACGCTCCCCTTTATCGCCGGAAAGCCGATGCGGCGGAATTCGCATCCGACCGCCTCGTGGTCGCGTACGCCCGTGCGGTCCTCGGCTGGGCTCGTATTCCATCCATCGCCCTGTGGAGGATCCGCGCGGCCGATGTGATCGAGAGCTCGATGAAGATGATTGCTGTAAATTTCTTCTCGACGTGATAATTGGTGTTTGTTGCTGCTGTTTTGTACGGCGAATGAACGTCTGGTCCAGTTTGTAGTGAAAATCGTCGTGAGGGTGCAGAATTTCTAAGTGTATATTGATCCGCTTGATGATGATTGCTGGATGCGATATCTGTGTACGGTCTCTACCCTCATCATCTGCGGATTCTGTGTGGATCCGGAGTTGGTTTCTTGTCTCAAAATCTGAATTCACGCCAATTCTGGCCGTTGATATTGCTGTCGGTTGCTGTCATGTTTTACACTGTCGGCGTTTCTCAGTCATGATTGTAGCTGCTGCCGTTCAGCTATGGTAGACGTCCGTCGACTGTAGTTTCTGGCTGAATTTGCTACATCACAGTCGAGTAGGCGTCGTTGGTGGAATTTCGATACTCATGTTGACGCTGACGACGGAGCTAGGAATTAGATGTTGAGAAGGTTGAGTTTGTTAACACTGCTTCTCCTTGGTACACACGCCTACGGTCCAAGCCTTCACATTCAGCCATACTGCTAAATTCCACGTATTTTAAAGAAGCTACTCAAGTGTCTTCTGATGAAACAGAGCATCGACACATGTGGACTGCCCAAGCTATGCTTCAAAGAAATTGAAGCTCTCTACTTCCACTGATATCAGGTGCAACGCGGCTTTTTGTTTTTCGGACGAAGAGGTGACCAGCTGCACAAATAACTGGTTTCAAAGCTTCGATAGCTTTTCTTACTTTCTCTTGTGAGTCAACGATGGACTCATGTTCTTACATTCATATCGTGACTATCGCGTCTGCTAGTTTTCCATTGGCATAACTTAATTGAGTTTGCTACTCCGCACTCCTGAGTTCCTGAGGTCCTGAGGTCCTGTTGTTTTATGATTTAAACGTTCATTCTTTCTTTCAAACATGTCTTTTCAGGGTCCAAGTATCTTTCGAGCATGAATAGTTCTAGGGAATTACGATTTTTCAGTGTGTTTCAGACGTTCTTATCTTGTGCAAACATGACATGATGAGCCAATCCGACGTCGTTTCACAGGCTTGGCTTTGGGCAATCTCGATCGCCACGATGACCGAAGGGCTTGCGCATTTGAGCAGGATGGATATTTGTGAGCAAGGTCCCGATGTAGAGCGCGCATTTTCTTCGGATGAGCTTAGCCTTGGAGCTAATCAAGGCACCCATGCAGACAAGGTTGTACGCTCCTTGCCAAATATCGATGACGCTTATCAACCACGAGTTCAGCCGCCCTCAACGGACAAAGTTGTAATTGCCGGTAAGCACAGATGTGAAGCAATTGTTGGCAAGTCGCAGAGTAACACCAAGGTGGACTCATGGCTCGGATGGAATCGGTTGAATTGCAGTGTTCACAATCTCGTTGCTAGCGTATATATAGCTTAGAGACAGCCCAAACTAGCCGACGCTTAAAAGTGGTACATTATGTGAATTATGTAGCTTGACGCCTGGACAGCACTCATGATCTTGGACTGGCGGCATTGATTCTAACAGCATACGCTTGCTGATTGTTTTTCTTTTCTCTTAGTGGAGGTGTGTTTAAAGCCGCGCACAACTGTTCGTCATGACGAGATTCGACAAGCCGTCGAAAGGTACTACCGCACAAATGCGCATTTTTTGTGCGTGGAGAATTCTCATTATATCTTCGTCTACATTGGGTGACGTGCAGTGGCGTCCTTTATGGGTACTTCAAAATTAGACACCCGAAGCAGATGTGTTCCTGAGATAAAGGATATATATCACCACACTCTTCAGCCTTGTGGATTCTGATTTCTTTCAGGGATCGATGCTCCTCACAGAATGCTGGACAAGAGGAGCTTAACATATGAAGAGGGTCCAATTCTGTTCTGCCAAACAGATGAACCGTTTCTTTACGAACATGTTGAAAGCATCACACTGTCGGATGAAGGTGGGTGAGACAGACTGTTAAGTCATCAATTTCTGGACTCGATACCAAGGTCTATATTCCTGTGTTTCTCATTCGCACAACCATATAACAGATGGACGGGCGAGTGCAAATGGAGTACTCCTTTTCTGGCAAGTCACTTTACAAGTACATGTATATCAGGTATTTGTCTTATCTCACCGTGCAAGTGTAGGTTTGTAATTAGTGTTGTGATCCTGATCTCGTCATGTCTCACTTGGAAGATACTAGTTTTCAGATTCCCTTACACTGCAGGCGTTGATTTTATATTTCCAATTTTGAACTATGCCACCTGTCATACTACATTTTCGAACAGCATGCTGCCGGTCTTCAATTTCTCTCTAGTTGCCATCATTCCTGGACTCCTGATACAACTTAGGTTGACAATAGCTTCACTGGAGCCAAACTATTGTAAATTATTAAAGCTTTGGAACATCATTACACCGCAACAGTTACACGAGGAGGGACCATCAGAAGAGCTAGAAGGAAATGATTCCATTGCCAGTTTCCACGAATGGACGCTGCCTGGAAGAGAGTTTCATGGTTTGTGGGAAAGGTATGTAACGGGAGGAAAGAATGGTTCTCGTAAGGATGGCACATTTCAGGCAGAAGTTGTACAATCACGACTTTGTGAGCAAAACTTCATACTATATTCCATGTCTCCTCCCCTCTCGTTTCACGTTGTGGGACGATATAGTTAGCATACTAGAAACAAATGCACTTGGAAACAGGACAGCCATATATTTCGAAACAATCTAGATAGAGATATGAATTCCAAGATGGGACCTAGCTCGTCCATTACTAAAGTCAACTTAATATTCTAGTACTGTGAGCTCTCACTCTCTCGTGCTATCAAAATTTCTCACTTGTCAGACAACTAATAGCATGACATCGCAAATCTTAACATATTGTAGCCAGGCTCAGGGTAGTCGCTGCTCAACTGGAGGTGCGTTGCCTGCAATGAACGTCGTTTACGGAGATTAGTAAATGCATATTCATGGTATAGTCTACATGTGGCGCAGCTTGATATACGACTCGTCGCTGAAGCAGCATCTACTACGATATGCCCTGTCTGCTCTTCTATTTTCGGACAGAGGTGTTAATTCACATTTAGTAGCTTGGAACCGGTAAATCTTACTCTTGTCTTTCATTTTCTGACATGAGTATCGAAGATGTCAGGGGCTCCGCTAGTTGTATAAAAGTTATCTGTATTTTAGGCCTTCCTGAGTTGAGGGTAATGAGCTTGGTGTTCTTGTGTTTGACAGGGTAGTTCTCTTGCACGGGCCACCTGGTACAGGGAAAACTTCGCTATGCAAAGCCCTTGCTCAAAAGCTTTCCATTCAGTTTAGCTACAGGTTTTGCTCTTCACATTTGACCAATCAATCGGATTTGAAGCTTGCTGAAATCATTTGAGTTTCTATGGAGTGCAGTATACTCCTATTTGTGCAAAACAAACTACTGAACTGGCTTCTCAGTAAGGCCTCTGAATCACACGAGGATTACCTACTCCTTATTTTCTTTACTTCGTAATTCTGCACCTGGCGGGACAGAGACAAGCATCTAAGGGGTTGTTCACAAGTCAAGACCCAGGAAATAATGAAATTTCAAATATCTGTCTTTTCTAACCGTTCAGTGTTGGCAGGTTTCCTCAGGCTCAGCTAGTCGAGGTGAATGCGCATTCTCTATTTAGCAAGTGGTTCTCTGAAAGCGGGAAGCTGGTAGGCTTAAGCTTTTGCTTCGGTATTTTTCATGACAAGTTGTACAATGGCTCCAAGTTTTCTGTGTACCTGAAAAAGTATTTATAAGCACCGTCGTCTCATTCCGTATTCAAATCCCTAGGTCACGAAGCTTTTTCAAAAGATAGAAGACATTGTTGAAGATGGAACAACCTTAGTGTTTGTACTCATAGGTATGTGTTCAGACTTATGGTTCATCTGATCTTCCAAGCTATTTTCACCTCGTTCAAGACTTTCGTCATAGTAGATAAAATCCACAGGATTGTCTTCTGATTGACACTTCGTTATTTCCGGGGCAATATGCTTTCTTTGCAGATGAAGCAGAGAGTTTAACTGCCGCCAGACAAGCAGCTTTGTCCGGTTCAGAACCGTCTGACTCAATAAGGGTTAGTATACTTAACCTAGTAGAATGGAGTAATTACAACGAATTCACAAAATATGTACACACTCCCTGTGTCTTCATAATCCTTTTACTTCATGCTCAGTTGGTATGCTTGTTTCCTGACTACAATCAGCAATGTTTTGATCAGTTTAAGTTCATTCTTCAGGCTTTCTTGGTGGACCTTTTATGGCACTTTTTCCTTCAAAAGTGATTGCAGTTGTCGATATTCTTATGTCTTGATTATGTCGTACGTTGAGACTCGCATCTGTCTTGAGAGCAATAGAGCTTTTCGGCTGGTGTATACGTGAATGGTCCAGCTTTTGAGGCAAGGAGCTCAAATGTGGTGTGATCTGCTGCCATATCTTTACAAGTTGAAAACGCGGAACATGTTTAGGTTGTCAACGCCTTACTTACTCAGCTAGACCGGCTGAAGCGATGGCCGAACGTCGTTGTCCTTACAACCTCGAACATCAGTGCCGCTATTGGTATGTATGCCAAAAGTTCTGGCCGATATTGTTCTTGTTCTTCGTCTTGATGACTGCAAACCGCACCCTCTGTAGTGAACATCCACTAACTGGCAGTTCACTTGAGAGGGTGCAGTGTGCAGTTAGTGGATGGTTAACTTCAGCGTTCGCTTTTGCACAGATCTGGCGTTCGTTGATCGTGCAGACATCAAAGCCTACGTTGGCCCGCCTTCTCTCGAAGCTCGATATGAGATTCTCAGATCATGTTTGAAGGAACTTCAGCGTGTCGGTATCATTAATCAACAGAAGGTAAATCATTTTCTCTGTCTGTACTGAGATTATTCTTAGAGTACGTGTCATCACGCTGCCGGAGACCAGAGCGGTATGGTCTTTACTCTCTGTGAACGGTTACTCTATGTGGACTGTTACTGAGGCCATCAATTGTAAGTACTACACATATTTCCAAATAAAATCACCGAATGTTGCATCTAGATGTGACTCCTTCGAAGTACAGTACTCTCCAGCAGACTAGTGTAGGGTCGGGCTTGCCCAGACCGAGAATCAGCAGGAGTTATTAACGGTCCCCGATACCATCTAATCTTTTGTCGCATCCTCTCTAGGTCGAACCTTACGATTCGGAGCTACTCACATTCAAAATTCTCTCTTTGAGGATGAAGGAGCGCACGGAAGAAGCAAGGGTTCTGTTGTCCGTAGACATTTCTAGAAACTTACTGGCTGTAGCGGAGGCCTGCGAGGTGATAAGTCCTGATTTGACTTTTTCCTTATCAAATTCTTGAGAATTCAACGTCACTTAGGAAACTTGTTGGGCAGATTGGACGGTTTTGAAGACAGAGATTCACTGAGCTTATATTTTGTCGTTCCTGTGTCTAACTTGCTGTGCAGGGCTTTAGTGGACGGGCCCTACGCAAGCTTCCGTTTCTTGCCCATGCTTCCATGGGACCTTTAACTGACTGTGACTACTCCGTTTTCCTAGCCGCCATGCATGAAGCTATCAAGAGAGAACTGTCAGATAGAGCACTTATGTAAACAATATATTTGGTACGTAGGAACAAGTTACGTATGTTGTATAAACTACTGAGTTTGCGGAATGGAAGTCCGTCGTTGTAGGACTTTCTTTCAGTTTCGAGTAACTGACAAGTATGAGCTGGTCAACGGTTTTGGCTTCGCTGATTATGACTTAAATTTTTATGTGAATTTTTTCAATCACACAGCTGATCCGTTGCGGGGATATTGACCTTTGGATAGGATTACAAGATAATCATGTCGGTAAGCATGGACACCATCATCTCAAATAGTTCGTGACTGCTGATTGTGTCGGTTGTTGCCACATGGGAGCTGTCGTTAGGACTTCCCTCCTCGCGCATGGGCCAAGAGTAGTACGTATTTTAATAGTTTTTTGGGGGTAACGTTCTCCGATTGGAGTAAATTAATCGAGCAGCGGCATGCTCATCGACGAGATTCCGCTTGACGTTTATCGCACGAACTGCCACGAACTGACTATCAGAAGCTCAAGCCTTGCACGTTCTGTTCATGTCCAAGGGCTTGAAGCTCGTTGGGCCACTTGCTTACATGTAAGTCGAATCAGGTAGTCATCTGGGCCTACAGGGGTTACAAGATGTCGATTCATGTCGGGATCTGTTCTAGAAGACCCCGTACTGACATCAAGAGTATCTGTCTCTTGACAAAAATACACCCACTAGCCAATCTGGTCTCCTGCGAGCTCATCAACAAATTAGGGGACCCTGTCAAACAAATGTTTCCGTCGACCTACGTGTAATTTAACTCTCGCAGTTCGAAGTTTGAGACTCGATACTACAGTAACCCTTGGTGAATTGCAGTGGTAGCGTAGCAGTAATTACAATCAGTATCTGTGTGCTGCCAGTTAGGTTGATTCTGCAGCAGACAAGAGCTTCTTTATGAGATCGTCGATGTCTTGATGATTACCTGAATTCAACCCCTGATCCACAAGCTTCAGAGATTTGTCGTCAGATCATGATAATCTATTTGACGAGAATAGACCCACCTGTACTCCTCTTGCTGTTGACTCTCCAGATGAGCCCCAACGTGTGTCTAACCTGAGTCGTTTATGATCATGTGATCACCCTCTCTGACTCTTGGTGCGCAGGCATGGAAGCTGTTTCAGAGGTGAGCTTCAGAAACTGATGATCTTTTCGAAATTCGGAATTCATGCTAGTCTGGTCTTTTTACTAACTAACATTAGGGTTCTCAAGCAGTCAAACTGTGCTCTAGATTCAAGTTCGCATCATGAGTCCTTATTGCAACATACTAAGCGAAGTTTACAATAGTAAGCTGATTACAATAAAGAGCCGATATTGTAGATAACTGACCTTACACTTAACCTGACGTTGTTGCAGGTTAGATTTTGTCTAACCTGCAACAACAAAATATTTCTGTTTTCACCCTCCTGCTGCATTGTAGGGACCCTGAGTATATCAGAGTCTGCCATGCAAGCCTGTCAAACCGAGATTGTTAACTTGATTTTTTTCGTTTGTGGGTCATAACAATAGATAATCGATTGGGAGAAAATAAGAGTAGGAATCTCCTTACATTGCAGCTGGGAACTGATGCAAGTTCCTCACGATAGCCAAAGCAAATTAGAATGCTTATTTGGGAGAAGGAATCTTGTTGTAGATCAGACTTTATCTCTAGGTGCGTTGTACAGAATTGCTCTGTTTAATGCTCATTTAGCAGGTCAGAGTACCAATCTGTCAAATCTGTACAGATTCCATTGGTCGAGCTGTACTATTGGAGACGGGGGACGCGATCATCGATGAGAAATTTCAGACCTGATCTTTATCTTGCTTCTTTGAAGGAATTTTTGCTTTTGGGATCTATTACTGTCTCGTGTGTGAAGATGGTTCAACCTTTCGTCATGAAGACCAATAATGACTACAATTTAAACCAAGAAAGTCAGCTTGAAGACCTGACTGCCTCCGTATGATATCCAAAAGATTACCAACTACCTGTCTTCTGACTTTTTGCTAGATTCTCTTGTCATGAATGTTACTAGAGACGATGAATTTCATATTCATCCTAAAGATTGACATGACTTCCAAAGAATACTGTGTTGTCTCGCGATGAAGAAAATGTCAAGATAAAGAAAAGTAAGATTGCTGTCGTGTGTCGGTCAATCCAGTTTTCTTGTGCACATAATTCATTGCCAATTTATAAATAAACTTCACTTTTTGTAGTAAATACTTCAAATAGTATATAGGGGTTTTGATGCTGTGAAAGTTATCATTTCAAATTGAAGGTGTGAGTATTGCACAAACCTGATATAAATTTCAATAAACAGAAAGGTTAAACAATCTTATATTTTCAAGAATTTCATAGTTATATTGATAGTAGGAAATGATAATTCAAGTTCAATACTAGAATTCTGGAATAGTGCTTTATTTGATAATAAATTCATTTAGTGGAGTTATTCATGTATCAGTTGTAGTCAAACTAAAATATATGAATTTCTATCCAAATGACGAAAGATAAACTTCGATATTTCCACGAGCAAATCGATTTCTCATTACATAAAATTGCATACATTATTTATTACATTCCGAAATGGTTGGTAGGTAGTCAACGGTCAGTAAAGCTAGGGAAGGATTGTATTCTTTCACTTGTTTCAGGGTAATGACTAATCTATTCGCTCGTGGTTTTTTAGAGACTTAGCATCTTCGACAGTGATTTCATAGGTTTTTTTTCACATCCCTCTTTTCTTCTGGAAAAGTAGGAGAAATTTCTGATTTTTATATGTAGCAGATCTTAGATAAGGAAATTTGTGGCACTAACATTCGAAGTTGAAGTGTTTATAGTCGTCTCTTGTCGCCCTACTATGCTAAACTTCGTTTGTGTATAATTGCAAGTTTTATGTAAATACTGGAAATCGGAAAATTAAGGATTAAATTTTGCTTCGATGGCCGCATTTGGGAACTCGAGGCGAATTGAAGTGTCGTGTTGAGAAAAAGATTTGAAACATGCATTGTACGTCGATCCACTTGCTTCAAGGCAGGATCAAACGCTACTAGGTATTGGAATGCTGAGAAAATGTAGATCAAGAAGTAGGCAGTTTTGAAATTTATTTATTCATGAAATGCCATGTCATAGAAGATTATGCAATGTCCATTATACCGAAGATCTTTTCTTTGGCTGAAATTTGGAAGAAAGTAACCAATCATAATGATCCCTTTGTTCTTCCACAAAGGTATCGTTGAGTTTCTTTGTTGATAAGAAGTAGAAGGGTTTAATCTGTTAGGAAGTTTGTTGGTAGTTCACGGTTGTATTGTGCATCACTTTGTATCTGAGGACTTGTTTGAAAATATTTGAAAGATGGTGTCTGGTGTAGCTATAAGCTATACATTCATGAATTTGGGTGGATCTAAGACTGAGCTAAGACAAGCTAACTTACATTTGAGAGGATTGGATTGAAGCTCTTCATTCTCGGATGTTTGAACCTAAACTTTAGGATTTAAAATTTGATGCGTGATAATTTTATATGAATGGAAAAGATTAATCATATATCACAAGGGATAGTTTCAAATCTTGAAGAAAAAAGTATAACTAGTATAAAGTGTGGGTGAACAAGATATGACATACTCAAGTATGATGAACACCATCATTTTCATTTTAGAACTCACAAGTCAAAGCAAATGAAAGATCTCAATTATAGAAAGACATTGAGATCAAAACCATACATCTACAATGATTTTCAATAGCAGGTTTTAGATAATAACATCTTTATATTCTTCATATCTTTATATCGGTAAGGCATTAAATATAATTTCAGTTAGATCATATTCACGAAATGATAAGCATGAAAAAAGTTGAAGATTTATAGTAAGACTTAGATTTAAAAATATATATTTTTTGAGATGTTCTAAAATGTCACGCAAATCGGCGGAAAATGGGTTCAGAATGTGTCAAGAAGTCTCCATATCATGCAGCTTCTTTGAACTGTGCACGGACTTGAGAGGATTGCCTCGTCAATCAAGCGAGTGAGGAGGCAGGCAGAGTGAGGAGCGCCAATGAGTAAGAAGTATAAGGAGGATTGTCTTATTGAGCTGAAGAAGCATGGGGGTTCGACAATAATGATTTGACCGCATCTATTGAGAGTTCAAAGAAGAACATCCCTGCAGCGATGAACATCATATTGGATTATTTGTCTATGTGGACTGAGTGACTGATTATTTTCCGATGGTGCGATCAGCTCATGAGAAGTGGCATCAGCCCGCATAATGTGTCTGGTTCATCTTAAGGTGCTGGTGCATTAATGCCATCGGCTGCTTCTACGCGAGTCTCGGAGCTGAGCTCTGTCGGCGAAGTACTGATGTAGAAGCGAAAGCATGGAGGAATCAGTGGATCTTATCAATGTGTATCGCAACGCAATACCAAGAAAAAGTCCAATACTCAGGACAACGCAATGAAGAAGGCGATTTCGATCGTGGGACAGGAGGTTATCGCCGAGTTGAAATCAAAGTGGGACACAATGAATACCAAATACGGAGGTGAGGAATGGCAGCAAGGAGAAGGAATTGTATTAGATATGATGCATCAGGATCTATCTGATAACGTCATTCGGGCAATTTTTCCCGTTGGTGGCAGCCGAATAGCGCGTTTGAGGAAGGTCTTGAGGGAGAGGATCGACACTTGCACACTCGTCAGCCGCCGCAGATCCCAGCGCATGCTCTCACTGCGGATGATCTGGCTGCATTCGTTGGCGTGTGCAACAACTGGAACATTGAGGATGGATTTCCATGTGCACATCGACGACCGCGCCAATATTTAAATGAAATGCGCTTAACTTGGACAAAGTTGTGGAAGGAATATTCTGATAAGATGATCGAAATGAATCGTTGTGTGATGAGCTATAGCTGATGGACTAAATACGTTAAGGTGGAGTATCCAGGTATTCGATTAACAAGGACGGCAGAAGATGTTTGTGATGTGTGTGTTCGCATTGATGTTCAGCTTGACAGAGATGATCTCCCCAGTGAAGAACAAAAGCAGTTGATTTTGGAGAAGACGATGCATCTGTCGGCAGCGATTGATCAGCGACAGGCGATGTCGACGTTTGTTAAACAGTACATTGTCGCCCATGCGTCAAAGCAGGCCATTCCAACGACGATCATCAGTGAAACTTTCGAAGAAACTCCAGCTAATAATAGGGCTATCAAACATGAAGACGTGCTAGTGATCGAGATTCAGATTGAAGATTTTGGTGGCAGCTTTGCGATCCTTCACTATGGGCACCAACGTCTCTCTGCTGATTATTTTAATTCCAATCTCATGATGCAGAACTTCATCATTGCCAACATCACGAATGGCGCCAAGAACGTTCTGATCTATGATGAGCGCGGCCAAGGCAAAGGCGCAGACGCGCTATGTAGCCTTCGTCTCATGTATCATATCCGTCTTTGTCGCTTTCATCGGCAACGTGGCAGCATTCCGCCGAAGATATCGTTATTGATTCTCGATAACTATGTGGATCAAAACAAATCTAAGCTCGTGTTCATGTTCTATGCCCTCCTTTCATTGCTTTTCTATGATAAGGTCGTCATTCACTATCTCATTCCAGGCCACTCGCACAACTCGGCTGATCGTGTCGTTGCTTGTTGTCAAAACACGATGCGCAGCGTCAACCTGTACAACCCCGATGCGATTGTATCTTTGTTGAATGACATCAAATCTGTATCTGCGAAATTTCTCGATCATCGTTCTACGACCCGACCCTTCTTCGGCGAATGGAGACCTTTACTCACCAAGTACTTGAAGCCGATGCCGACGAACTACACGAGCCACTACTACTTTGAAATCGAGAAGGGCGTCGTGGAAATGCGTCATCTCGCAACGACGCCAAATGATGAGTCGATGCATTTTCCAATGATTCTGCCCACCAATATCGATGCTATTTGTCGTGCAATTTTGTTTGACTTGTTTGGGCCCGACGTCAAATCCATTGATGATATCAAATCCATTGATTATCACCAGCTGTCTTGACTTGAGGTCAAGTCGCTGACAGAGAAGAAACTGGTATCCTTGTCTCAAAAGTACTTCTCAATTTCGCCTGAGTTTCTCTCGTACTATCCTGCTATCCCTGCGGAGGTGGCCAATGTAGCGGATACTACGGGTGGCGATAGCGGTGATCTACTAGCTGCGCCTGCGACGCGATCAAAGAAGGCAAAAATAAAGGCGGTCGGGGTCGAGAAGCCAAAGATCCGTCTTAGACGCCCGCCCAAGATTCCCGCGATCCTCCCTGGCCAGACTACTGTACTGTCATACTTCGACAAATTAAAAAAATCAAGTTTGATGTTGCAATATCATAAGGGCACCAATACAGTGCATTGAGCCAGGTTTGAGGTCAATCAGATCATTATTGACGGTATTATTGAGCTTTTGCGAGGCCCGGATGTTTTTGGAGACGCGTGTCGTCGCCAATAGGTACAATTGAGCAAGTTGTGGAGCCGTCACTGTTTTTGTGGCTTGATGTGAATCATCATGCTCAATTTGTCCACAAATATTAATACTGAATCATTTACTAGCAAAGTTTTTGGTAACTCATATACAAGATTCATGATGACATGTTCCTATTGATGTTTGAGAATAGGGAAATACTATACTAAACCAGTTGATTTTTGATTACTTGACTTGTTTTATTGATAAAAAACACAATTTTGAAGGTAAGACACCACATCATTCCATAGTTGGGATCATAAGTAAATGTGTTGGATGCTTTCCAAGGTATTTTCCACTCCCACATGATCAAAAATGGCTGTTTTGATAAAATCATTGTGCATAATTCTTGGTATTGTGGTATCCATATATGTTGTTTGTAGAACGTCAAATCTCTTGCATTCTCAGCACTTTTAGCTTGTAATGCACTCATGATGTCTTCATACACCTTTGTGACATGTGTCATTTTGCTCCATCAATCGGCTTGAATCTTCACTTATGCAACACAATTCAAAC